CACACACACACACCACACACACACACACACACCCGCACACACACACACACACACACACACACACACACAGACACACGCACACACGCACACACAGACACACGCACACACACGCACACACACACACACACACGCACACACGCACACACGCACACACACACACATACACACACACACACACACACACAGACGCACACACACACACACACACACACACACACACACACACACACATACTGACGTGTTAAGACACAGGCAGACAAGCTTTATATACTGACTAATAAAACATATATACATTACATACATGAGCTCACACACAGATTCTTGGAATTGCATGGTGGTAGACTGTGTGTGTGTGTGTGTGTGTGTGTGTGTGTGTGTGTGTGTATGTGTGTGTGTGTGTGTGTGTGTGTGTGTGTATGTGTGTGTACGTGTGTGTGTGTGTGTTACTCAGGGTTTGCTATAATTATATACGTATACAAAATAAATGTAATTAAACCAAAGTGTGTGTCTGCTGGTCCAGAGGAGCGATACACTGCGGGCACATAGCGTCTGGTTTCTGCAGCTTTCAGTAAACGCTGCATGTCTCCTCAAGGTGCTGGATGTTCAGTAAACGCTGCATGTGTTGTCAAGTTGCTGAAGATGTTTCTTCATGAGGAACATCTGGGTTTCTATATCTGACCACCGTCTCTTTATGAAATGAAACTCGACAGCAGTTTTTCTTCAGTGGGTTTTATTTATTAGAACATGGCATGGATGGAAACAGAATCACTGAGACACAGGAAGTAGAAACAGACAGATGGAAGAACAGGAATATCTCCTCACTTTATGTTCAACTGCAATACAATGTTCATCACTGCAGTGTGTGTGTGTGTGTGTGTGTGTGTGTGTGTGTGTGTGTTTGTACAACTTGGATTTGTGTTATAGTAGAGTGGTGTGTGTTCGAAGCTCCGTCACAGTGCAAGAGTCTGAATCCTGCCACACCTGCACCTGAGGGCAGACTTGAATCCCCCTCCCCTGCACCTGAAGGATATAAAACACCTGTGCATCAGGTCAAATATGTTCAGGAGCGCTGAAACACGAAGCACGTTAAAATAAATCAGAGTCAAGGACCGCCCGATTGTTGCATTTCACAAAGACCCGCCTCCACCCTGCAGCTGAACATGAATATGAGATCAAACGTGAAATATTCTTATCTAAAGTGTTTCTGATCCTCGGTGCAGATGCATGCTGGGATTCAGACCCCGATCCACTGTAGCCCCCCCCCCCAGCACCATGTGACACACACAAACACACACACGCACGTCTCCGGGCTGAAACACACACTCCTGTTTTTGCATAGACATCAATTCAAGTCGGACTCATGCAGACGGACCGACGAGGAACAGAGGAAAGTGAAACCGAGGTTATTTAACGTTATAAAAATAAGTGAGCCTGTTAAATATACCACGTTATCATCATTATTATTATTATTATATTTTAATGTGTATGTGTGTGTGTGTGTGTGTGTGTGTGTGTGTGTGTGTGTGGGTGAGGCCAAGCAGACATGCAGCATGTAGTCTCTGACGCTCAGGCCGAGCATCTGATTGGTTTAAAAACAATTACTAATCAAAATAAAATGTTGCTGCTGCTTTCACACACAGAACTAGAACACATAGAAGAAACCTTCAACAATAATCTGGTTATTCATCAACGACTTGTGTAAACCTGTAGATAAAGTAATCCTCTGACTGAAGATGTCAAAATGAAATATGTATGAGTATTTATTATGTGTGTTGTCTGAATGTTAAACGTCCGCTCAGTGTCCCTGATGTCTTCATGTTGATGTTAGTTATCTTAAAGTGAGTGAGTGATTCAATGTGCAGTAGAAAGGTGAGTAAAGCCAGGCGGCGTCACAGTGTGGTCCCTCATTTATGGATTATTAATCAACGCTACGGAGAACATGAGTACTTTACAAGATGCTGATACTAAAAAATAATATGGGATGTTGCAGCATGCACGGGTTTCACTCTGCAGATCTACTCTATTCTAGTTCTGTGCAGGCTGAAGGAAGCAGCAGAAACACACACACGTCCCAGATTATAGAGTAACAATGTGTGTGTGTGTGTGTGTGTGTGTGTGTGTGTGTGTGTGAATGCTACACTGTTGGGAAAACAACCATATTTCCTAAACCTATAAATGTAATAATTCCTCTTAATAAGTTAAAGCACAAAAAGACGCATTAAAAAAAAAAATCTATACAACAAATACTAGAAATAAGGAAGTGGACGTATTAGTACATACATGGTATACAAAGATCAGCTCAGTGTCAGATCATATAAACTCTGAGATATTAGTCAATAAATATGAGAGTACACGATAAGTGAAGAACGCTGAGGAGTCTTTATGGCTTTTAGCGGCCGCTCGGCCAAACGTCTGCAGGCAGGAGTACCTTTGAGACGGGGTAACGCAGACGGAGACGTCTGCAGGCAGGAGTACCTTTGAGACGGGGTAACGCAGACGGAGACGTCTGCGGGGGGGAGTACCTTTGAGACGGGGTAACGCAGACGGAGACGTCTGCAGGGAGGAGTACCTTTGAGACGGGGTAACGCAGACGGAGACGTCTGCGGGGAGGAGTACCTTTGAGACGGGGTAACGCAGACGGAGACGTCTGTAGGCAGGAGTACCTTTGAGACGGGGTAACGCAGACGGAGACGTCTGCGGGGAGGAGTACCTTTGAGACGGGGTAACGCAGACGGAGACGTCTGCGGGGAGGAGTACCTTTGAGACGGGGTAATGCAGACGGAGACGTCTGCGGGGAGGAGTACCTTTGAGACGGGGTAACGCAGACGGAGACGTCTGCGGGGAGGAGTACCTTTGAGACGGGGTAACGCAGACGGAGACGTCTGCGGGGAGGAGTACCTTTGAGACGGGGTAACGCAGACGGAGACGTCTGCAGGGAGGAGTACCTTTGAGACGGGGTTAACGCAAGACGGAGACGTCTGCGGGGAGGAGTACCTTTGAGACGGGGTAACGCAGACGGAGACGGTCTGCGGGGAGGAGTACCTTGAGACGGGGTGGTGGTAACGCAGACGGAGACGTCTGCAGGGAGGAGTACCTTGATGAGGTCGGGGGTAACGCAGACGGAGGACGTCTGCAGGGAGGAGTACCTTTGAGACGGGGGTAACGCAGACGGAGACGTCTGCGGGGGAGAGAGTACCTTTGAGACGGCGGAGGGTAACGCAGACGGAGAGTCTGCGGGAGGAGTACCCTTTGAGACGGGGGTAACGCAGACGGAGACGTCTGCGGGGAGGAGTACCTTTGAGACGGGGTAACGCAGACGGAGACGTCTGTAGGCAGGAGTACCTTTGAGACGGGGTAACGCAGACGGAGTGGGATCACCGGGGACGAGAGGGTTCAACAGATCTGCGAGCAGGTACCATGACATCGCTATTTCATTCCAGGATTTTAGGAATAGGAAGGAGAAAAGTGCGAAAATGAACTACCTCTGAACTGGAGTAGAAGTACACAGTAGCAACACATTTAAATAAGTCAAGTAGAAGTACCTCAAAATGATACTCAAGTACTTGAGTAAATGTACTTTACATCACGGATTGAATACGGTGCAAACTGCACAGACTGGTTTGAAGGAGGAAGATGACCCGGCGGTCTGACAGAGAGGAGCCGGAGACCCTGAGAGTTGTAGAACATGCAGCTGAAGGCATGCATAACAATGGAATGAAACACAGTCGCTGCATGTCATCTGAAGTACAGGATTGTCTTCTTTTGCACACATCAAAACATCTGAGATGAGTTCAGGGTCGAGAGATGGCGGGGATTATTTATTCATCTTTTATTTGTTCATGTATGTTCCCCATGTGGAGCGTATAGACCAGGGGTCTCAAACTCAAGGCCCGGGGGCCAAATCCGGCCTGCGACTTCATTTGATGTGGCCCCGCAAGAGCTTGCAAAGAATATAATACGTTTATTACACGGTTACATGCCACTTTACAGAATCTATATGTTCATTTGAATTAATTTCTTATTTTATAGTTATTTATCATTTTTTTTTTTTATCTTTGATTTATCCTTAATTTTATTAATCTGTGTGAATCTGTGCTGTCCTGTTTTTCAATCTCACCCTGTTGCTGTTAAACTACTGAATTTCCCCACGGGGATTAATAAAGGTCCATTTTATCTTATCTTACAGAAGCACGTTGCCCATAAACTACATGTCCCACAATGCATCTCATTTAGTGACATGCGACTGAAGAGACTTGCAATGATTTGCCCATGACTTCTGCTTTCAGACGTAGTTAATGATGAAGTCATTACCCTATCCCATAATAATCCAATGCAGAGGCAATATTGTATATTACATTATTTCATATATATATTATGTATTTATATATGTATATTTATATAGTTACAACCGGCCCTTTGAGTGCAACCATAATGCTAATGTGGCCCACGATGAAATTGAGTTTGACACCCCTGGTATAGACGATCAGCGTGAAGATTTGACAACCGTTGCATTTCCGATTACCCATGAGCCTTTGCTGCATCTGTCCGTCACAGAGTCTAGGACGAGTATAAAGAGTGTCAGCAGAGATGAAACTATGTCTGTGTTTGTGGAGGAATTCACAAGTCGTTTTTTGTAGTTTCTGATTAAGCGACATATCAAATTACAACCAGCGTGTTCATCGCTTCCTTAGTGGCTCTTTCTTAAGGTTTGTATACTCACTACAAAGAGATAAGGTTTGGGGAAAAACCTTCTGATTTCAGTACGTAGCTCTTTTTGGCTACCTGCAGGATTCTTCAAGGTTGAATGCACTTATTGTGAGTCGATTGGGATTAAAGGTTATACCAGCGTTAGTATCGCCTCTTGAGTTGAAGGTTGTGTTCACTGTCTGGGACATAATGAGGTTAATGGAGAAACCTTAATGCCAAAAAAATAACCTTCTGATTTGAATATGCACTTATAAAGGATTTGGTCTATTTGAATGTATCTGGAGGATTCATGGTTGATTGAACTTGTCTTAAATAGCTTTGCTTAAAAGCGTAAGCTAAATGAAACGTAATGTAATATTTATTGCCGCACAACATCTGAAAACCAATCCAATGATCCCACTTTGTCATGTGTGAGAAGAAACAAGTACGAGGTTTATAGGCAGAGGAAGAAAGAGAGTGCCCGTCCATCTTTAAAAACCTCCCCAGAATAGTCTGTCTCTGCCAGCTCATAGTGAACCCGGACATGTTGAGTACCCCAATGTTTTATGATAGAAATGTATATTAGGGTTAGATGTAATCAACCAGAAGGTGGCCATATTTGTACTCTCTGTCGTCTGATTTTGATATAGAAGTTTTAGGGGATTCTGGATCATGTGGATCGGACAGCTATCTGTCCGATCCACATGATCCAACGATTATAATTAATGCAACTTATGCTAAATGTGCAAATTGCCCAACAAGTTAGCATCCTGCAGTTTCTATGTTCTGGGGACCCTACTATACATTTCTGACATAAAGCTCTGGGGTACTCAAAATGTCCGCTTTTCACAGTAGGACTCTGTGAGCTGCGATATCAGTACGGCCAAACTTCTGTGTCTCCGGTTTCTTCATCCCGTTGGCGGAGGACGAGATTTTCGCCGTGTAGGAAGCCAGCGCCGCCTGAATATTCCCCAAGGGGCTAAATAAAGTTTCATAATAATAAATAATAATAACATCTTGAATTGATATAGCGCCTTTCAGGGGACCCCGGGTCGCTTTACAGAAACACAGGAGTAAAACAACAGTCAGACAAAAAGTAAAAACAAATAAACTAGTCTAACTTATAAGACTTTGGGGTACTCAACATCACAATAGGACTCTATGAGATGCATAATCCCCCTCCGTCCGTCATCAGTACGGTGCAAACTTCTGTCTCTCCGGCTTCTTCATCCCGTTAGCCGAGGACTGGATTTTAGCCGTGTAGGAGGCCAGCGCCGCCTGAAGTGGACCCGCCGTCTGCTGCATGGACCCCGGCATCATGGAGCCCGGCATCATGGGGCCTGGAGAGCTGGAGAGCGCCAGGTAAGGGAAGGATTTCATTCCCAGGAGGCTGGAGAGGGGGAGGGCGTAAGGGGCGCCCAGCATTTGAGCGTGGGGCAACGAGGAGGAGGAGGAGGGGGAGGAGGAGGAAGGCTGGGTGAAGCTCATGGTCAGGTCAACGGGTGACGGCATGGAGGAGGACTGGGCGGTGGATTTGGCGGTCTCTAAACTGGAGGAGGGAGGGAGGGAGGAGGTGGAGGGAAGGGAAGGAATGGAGGGTGGAGAAGGAGACGGGGAAGGGAGTTTTGGATGGAGAAGGGTTAGAGGGTTAAATAAAAGACATGTTAAAAACAAAAAGGATACTTTGGAGAGTAAAAAATGAAATAAAGGAAGTTTGAGAAAATCATAAGACAGGTGTGTTTTGCTGGAGGGTGCAACAGATTACTGTAGGGGGGTTCGCTGTACGGATGGGGGGGGTGCTGTATAAGTTGGGGTGATGGCTTGGGAGGGGGCTTTGGGAGGAGGGGACAAAACCATTATAGATATATATTAGGATGGACGCTTGGTCAGAGGACAAAAAAACAGGAAATAGAAGCAGGAAAAAGACAAGGTATTAATTTTAGAGAGCGGAAATATCAATTCATATGCGCCATGTTGTTGAAAACCACAATAATCAGGAAAGGTCCGATTGGCGGACCAATTCTCTCAAAGAAAATTGGGCCATCGTGACTATGGGCCATCGTGACTATGGTCCATCGTGACATCTTAACTGTGGGCCATCGTTACAACAGACCATCATAACATGGGCCATCGTAACAATGGTCCATCATAACATGGACCATCGTAACATGATCGTAACTGTGGGCCAACGTTATTATGGTCCATCGTGACATGGTCCATCATAACTATGGGCCAAACACATGTTCCCTTTCTTTCACACAAATAAAGAGTCTTGTTGACATCTGAGCGATCCTCATGAAGCAAACACTGATCTCCTCAAGAGAGCGAGACGTAGAACTTGCATTTGTACCTCTTGCACCTTGTACATATATAAATAAAACAATGTGGACAAGAGAAGTCTCTGTGGTAGGACTGAGACATCTGAAACATGACAACGAGCAAAGCCACACACCTTTTCTAAATCCCCAGAGAGAGGATAGAATAATGTTCGACAGGAAGTCTCATCTGTGTGGTGACTGACTGGGAAAACAAATGTAATGGAAACGAGAGGATCCGTGTCTCACCTCCTCTGACCTGACATTTCAGTATGAATGAGATTGACCCATCTGCAGTGTGTGTACGTGTGTGTGTCTATTGTCCCTGCTGTCAGTGGCAGTGGGAGTTTTGAGTGAAATATCAATTTCATCCAGAATCTAATCAGGAATTTGCATATTCATGAAGGTGCTTTGTATGAGTCTCTCATATTTGGGATCTGATTAGAAAACAACACGACGGAGAGATTAACTTATTTCTCTTTATCATGTAAATAATTGTCATGTTACGCATCCTGAACATGTACTATGTTTGAAGATTTGTTAAGGAGAGATTCTCCTACTGTGTGAAAACCACCTATCGTGCACGTCATACATTTTCATACAATAATTAAAAGTATATCATCGGGCCATAGACACAATGCACCTTCATAACAATAAGCCATTTTAACAAAGGGGCCATCGTAAAAATGCTGACTCATTTCAGGGTTTTAAGACTCATAGTACTGACTCACTTCCAGGTTTGTTGGGACACATAATGCTGTCTAATTTCTGAGCCTTATTTCCAGGTTTAATGCTGACTTTTACTGGATTTTAGAACTCATACTTATTTTTCATTTATGGGATTTAAGACTCATAATGCTGACTCACACCTGAGCTTTAGGACTTATAATGCCAACTCATTACCAGGTTTAATGCTGTCTCTTTTACCGTGTGTTAGGACTCATAATGCCAACTCATTAAGACTCATAATGCTGACTCACACCTGAGCTTTAGGACTTATAATGCCAACTCATTACCAGGTTTAATGCTGTCTCTTTTACCGTGTGTTACTGTAGGACTCATGATGCCAACTCATTAGGACTCAGAATTTCAAACTCAATTCAAGTTTTAATGCTGACACTTTTACTATTTTTTAAGACTAATGATAATGATACATTTTTGGGTTTTAGGTCTTATAATGCTGACTTATGTCTAGGTTTTACTGCTGACACTTTGACCGGGTTTTGGGACTAATAAAGCTGATTCATTTTGGGCTTTTTTAGACTCATAATACTGACCAATTTCTGAGTTGTAGAAATCAAAAATGAAGAATAATGTCTTGGTTTTAGGACTCTTAATGTTGACTCTTTCACCGGGTTTGAGGACTCATCTCTTTAGGTCTTTAAAGTAACATTAGCCGTTGTTGTTGTTGTTGTTGTTGTTTACACACACTTCCCTTCAGTGGGGATACTCACCAGGAAGTGATCAGGTACTGGGCCAGGTTGATGGCGATGGCCGTGCCGGTGATGGTGACGTGACGCTCGCTGCTGCCGTCGATCTGACTGCCGATTTTGATCTGAGCGCCCGACACCTGCCGGATCTCGTTAATCTTAGAGCCCTGACGACCGATGATTGAGCCAATCAGCTGCGAGGACGAAGAGACAGAGAGGGTAAGGATTTCAATTAAGAATTTCTTACTTGAAACAAAGCATTTTAAGACCTTTTCTCTGGCTAACTACGTAAAACACATTCAGAAAACCATTGACCAGCGGATAGGAAGTGATAAAATGTTGACTCATAATGCTAATTTATTCATGAGTTGTAGGACTCATACTGAAATAATTCTGAGTTGTGGGACTTCTGATTCCCACTTGTTTCCAGGTTTAATGCTGACTCTTTTACCGGGTGTTAAGACTCATAATGCCAACTCATACCCGGGACTTAGGACTCAAAATAGCAAACTAATTTCCAGGTTTCATACTGACGCTTTTACCAGGTGTTAGGACTCATAGTGCGGACTCATTCCCGGGTTTAGGGACTAAAAAGGCTGATTCATTTTGATGTTTTGAAACTCATAATGCTGACTTATTCCCAAAATGTAAGGACTTCAAATGTTGACTCCTTTCAGGGTTTTAGGAGGAGGGGAAGACGGTGAGGATCATGATTTCAATCGAGGACTTTTACTCGTAACGAAGTATTTTAAAACCAAAGTATTTTAAAACCAAAGTATTTCTACTTTTACTCCAGGAGAGGATCTGGGTACTTCTTTCACCTCTGCTACTTATACAAAGTGTATTTTCCCTCCCCTCCACCCGTCTTCCTGTAACCTGTCAGTGTGTCTCTCAGTAAGCGGATCATCAACAGGTGTGAGTCCTGCAGCAGAGTCTCTTCAACAATAGACCCGCTGTCAGAGCAGACCGTAAATATGCCTCGTTAGATTTTCTTAAAAAGGCAAACAGCTGTTGGCAGGCCGTCTCAGTGTCAAGGTGCATTCCCCTCCAGTCAATGTGGACATTGTTAATTTATTATTTTAGTTCTCTTTTAGAAACAAGGAGATGTATAGGATGTTAAATACTGCTGTTAAGTTTTTTTTTTTACAAGGTTTACTGGACATTTATTTTATTTACACATAAAAACATTCAGGCAACCACTAAAATATGGAAAGCTAAGGAAGATTTAATAGTAATAATAATACAAATGTAATAAATAAATAGAAATAATAAGATTTAATAGTAATAATAATAACAGATTGTTTGGGAAAAAATTAAGAAATGTCATATTTTGAGGAAATTTGTTGACATGAAAAAAACAACTGAAATAATGTTTATTCAAACAATATCTTCCACTGCCCTCGTTGGTTTCAGGTTACAACGATAACCCTGAGTGAGGTCAAAGGTCAGGGCGATGTCTATTACAAGGAGCAGGTGGGGAATCAATCAGACACACTCAGACACAACACACACACACACACACACACACACACACACACACACACACACACACACACACACACACACACACACACACACACACACACACACACACACACACACACACACACACACACACACACACACACACACACACACACACACACACACACAAAGTGAAGGACACAGTGACATGACGACAGCAGGAGCTCCACCTCCAGATTTACAGCCGCTCTACTGTTTTAAATTATTTTCAGCTACGTTCAAATGAACAACATACAGTGGTTTTTTTGCCCTCATCCCCCCAAAAAACACTATATTCTTACCATGCTGTTTACATTGCTAATTAAATTAATTAATGCTATGCTAACTGAGGGTACAGGACCTTCAGATCCACAGGTTTATTGACTATAGAATCATCCGGACAGAGGTGAGACAGCTAATGCTAAGCTAATGAGTGCTAACAAAATGTCGGCATTAACATGCATAATTAAAAAATTGTTTTAAATCATATTCCCAGTGTTTGTGTTCCTGTAGTTCAACACACTCGGCGTCTCTTGCTGATGTGTCTACGTCTCCCTGTTAGTTTAAAAAAATTAAATGTAGTAGCTAGTATCCTCCAAAGATGGCCGTCTTGCCGTTCCCATTCCCTATACCAGTGAAAATCAGATTCCTGTCAACAAATTCAATACCACAGTGAGAAACAAAACAACATGTATTTCTGTGAAAACATCTCATTTAATTGTATACGTTTCCCTCTCAAAACTACACGGTACAACACTATAATAACCTTCGTCCAATACTTATTTAACTGAAGAGAGCAATAACGGATCATAAAGTAACTCAGCGCACCCTCTGTTAGCACTAAATTAATTTCGTGACTATAACACGAAATGCCGTGAGACTGGGTTGACAGTTAACAGCTAACAGCTAACAGCTAACAGCTAACAGCTAACAGTTAACAGCTAACAGTTAACAGCTAACAGTTAACAGCTAACAGCTAACAGCTAACAGCTAACAGTTAACAGCTAACAGCTAACAGCTAACAGTTAACAGCTAACAGCTAACATTAACTATAGCTTTACTCGCTGAATTCCGGTATAGCTGCTTAGCAACAGTTAGACATGCATAACGTTTTCTTCCTGTATCTTAATTAAATTGATTTTATATATTTTACATTATTTTCTTTATACATGGTCCATGTTTGATAGACGTCAAACTCTCTCTCCAAGCAACACAGTCTCACGGCATTTCGTGTTATAGTCACGAAATTAATCTATTGATTCGTGTTCACCAACACGATTTCGCCATTTTTTTCGTGTCACACAGAACGATTTTAAAAGCAATGTAAATAATAACAAATTAGAAGGAAAAAGACGTTTAAAAAAATACAGATTTCAGTATTCTGACACAGAACGATTTTAGAAGCAATGTATTTATATTGGTAGTATGTTTCGTGCCTGCACCAAATAATAACACATTAGAAGGAAAAAAAGATGACATAAAATACAGATGTCAGTATTCTGAGGCTCTGAGCCATTTCTTTTCCTCACTGACGGCACAAAAACTCAGACATTATACAATTTAAAATAAAAGGGATAGGGTTAGGCTTAGGGTAAGATATTGAGTAAGAACATGTTTTTATGAACCACACAGCTTCTGGTCTTCCAAGACCCGACCGGACAAAAAGACGTGTTGCAGGCACGAAACATACTACCAATAGAAATACATTGCATTTAAAATCGTGTTGGTGAACACGAATCAATAGATTAAATTAATTTCGTGACTAATAACACGAAATGCCGTGAGACTGGGTTGCTCCAAGATGTCTTTTTGAGATGACACCTTACATATATAAAATATGATCTTCAAAATGACGGCTGTAGTTAACGTGTAAAGCCGGTTCAATTACCGAGGGGTCGAACGGAGGCTAGAGGATGATCCACTCAGACGGTCGTGACCTGGGTATTGTCAGCTGGCACTTTGTCTCCGATAGAGTCATCACACACACACACACACACACACACACACACACACACACACACACACACACACACACACACACACACACACACACACACACACACACACACACACACACACACACACACACACACACACACACACACACACACACACACACACACACACACACACACACACACACACACACCACACACACACACACACACACACACACACACACACACACACCACACACACACACACACACACACACACACACACACACACACACACACACACACACACACACACACACTATCATAGCTCTTTCCAGGAATAGCCGGCTGCAGCTCACATCTATATCGGTGCTTTTAGTCCGGATGACTTGCAGGCAGAGGAATGTTTGTGGTGCAGCGAGAGGAGATTATAAAGAGAGCAAAGACTGCACTATATACTGAGAGAAGGATGAAGAGGAAGAGGAGGAAAGAAAGTGAATAAAGCACAGATTTAGGTCAGAAGAGGATGAAAAAGATCAGAAAGAGAGCGCAGTGGAGAGAGAATCCTCGACAGAGTGTTGACCCTCGCTCTTATTGGCCTGTATCAAACATGGAGCATGCATAACATAAATAATGTAATATATAAAGATAAATGTAATTAAAGCTGCAAGCAGCGTTGAGCGGGTCTTCGGCGCTCCGCAGGCTGTTGTCCGCACGTCGACGTGTGTGTCTAGGTGTCTCAAGGACTCGGCCGTTGGCAAACGTGGGAAGTTTCAGGCCGATCGGACAATGTCTTTGAGTTACAGCAGTAACACAAACATTGTGTTTGATGGCGAGTGATCTGTCGCCATGGCAACGTAAATTGATGACACCCCATAATACGCCTAGATATGTTGAGGGCTGCATCGTTATCAAACCTGTGAAGTTTTGTGCCGTTTGGAGCATGTTAACTGGAGTTATGAGAAAACCGTGTTTCATGGCGACCATTTTGTTACGATAGCAACAACATTTGATGAAATCTCAAAACTGACACATATATGTCTCGAGGGCTTGATGGTTAGCCATCATATGAAATCTGGTGCCGTTTGAACGATTTTCCATCGAGTTAGGACAACACCGTGTTTTTTGGCGAGGGATCTGTCGCCATGGCAACGGCATATGATGACACCCCATAATGGACTTAGAGCTATTCAGGGCCTGACCATTAGCCATCATATGAAGTATGGTGCCGTTTGGACCATTTTCATAGGAGTAACAGCGACACCGTGTTTTATGGCGAGGGATCTGTCGCCATGGCAACGGCATATGATGACATCCCATAATTGGCGTAGAGCTGTTGAGGGCCAGACCATTAGCCATCATCTGAAGTCTGGTGCAGTTTGGACGATTTTCCATTGAATTAAGACAACATCGTGTTTTATGGCGAGTGATTCCTTGCCATGGAAACGGCATACAGTGAGATCTCAGACTTCACGTAGAGCTGTTGAGGCATGGACCGGTGATATAAAAGTGAAGATTGGGGGACGATGGGACCGTGTCCATTGGAGTTACAGCGACACCGTGTTTTATGGCGAGGGATGCGTTGCCATGGAAACGGCATATGATGACATCCCATAATTGGCGTAGAGCTGTTGAGGGCCGGACCATTAAATGTCATCTGAAGTCTGGTGCCGTTTGGAACCTTTTCCATTGAGTTAAGACAACATTGTGTTTTATGGCGAGGGATGCGTTGCCATGGTAACGGCATATGATGA